CTCTTTCAATTGCAATGGAACGTCCCCTTCCTCTTTGACAGTATGGTCCAAAAGTTGACTAAGGCACCTCAACGTGCTTAACTGTGAGCAGGTGATAGTGCACCTTGCACATATTGAAAATGAGAATAACACATTACACAGACAAGCTGCTGCTCAGCCTCCCTTGTGTATCCATATTACACTTCTACTTAACTAAGTCCACACAATAGTAAGGAAAATATAAGTTTACACTAAGGGCTGATCCTGCCAACTGTAGAAATACTAGTGAGCATTTCACTGTTTTCACAATGAAGACCAGACTGTGTAAGAGCAGTTACACTTTCTTTTGGATCATCATCTTCTGTCCCTGGTGGTGGGCCAACATTTCCCCAGTTTCTAGGAAATTCATTTTCTATTTTAAAAAAGTTTAGGGGAGCTATTCTGGGGAATCGTCATTCACACTAAGTAACCTTTATCTATATTAAAATAATTTCTATGCTTTAGTCCACATGGGTGGAAGAGGGTAAAAATCAAAGTACTGCATTTTCTTCTGTTGGGATAAACAAGCTGGTGTGGGTGGCTGCGGATGTTAAAAATGAGAGGAAAAAAATGCCTTTTTAATGTTAACTTTCTATGACTCATCTGAAAATAGCTTCACAAAAGCCAAATGTGCCTCTTTTTTTTTTTAAGGATTAAAATAATCTGAAAAAAATTGTATTTAAATTCATCATCATCCTTGTTAACTGTATTCTTCAACTACTTGGAATAGTTCTACCACATATGAAAAGACTTTATGAACACTCTACAGATTTTGAAAAGGTCAGAATTATTTTCTTTTATATTTAAGGCTGAGTACTTTATGGGTCATTGAGAAAAAAATTCTTTCAAAAACAATTCAAGTGGGTCTACTCAAAGTGTGATAAACCAAAATATTGATCCTGTTTCTGGATTAACAAATGAAGTGCATAAGCTCAGTTTCAGGATGACTAGAACTTGTTCCATTTACCATATATTTTTTCCAAGTACCAAAACATATTTGGAATGCCTTTCATTGACATAATATTCACATAGTGTTCCATACTTGGAAAACACATTGGGAAATAGCTAAAATTCTGATTTTATAAATTCAGCCTGTACAAATTGAATTTCTAATTCAGTGATCAGAACGCAAACAATCATTAAGTATTTAGCAACCAATGTGTGAAAACCTGTAAGTCTACGATAGCACAGAACAGAAAATATTTTCTCACTCAAGATACTTCAAGGCAGTTAATGGTTTTAGTATCAGCTTCATAAAATAATCATATTCTTCCATTTTAAGATGAATTGTAATTCAAATTCACCCTTATCAGCTCTTACATCAATTTATTTTATTGACAGTTATTAATACCTATTGATCTCTAGGCTACTTTTAATGGGATTTACTAGTGAATGACCTATAAGAATTTCAACAACTTATTATTCCTTTGGGGAAATACACATTTTGTATGATATACTAAGTTATTTCTTTATAACAATTGTACAGACATTATACTACAGCATCTAAATGTATGAAAAATTGCTCATTATGCATAGTAGGAGAAGGCACCTCAAACTAGTGATGAATTCTTCAAAACAGTTTAGAAGGGATTAGTCATTTAAGAGCATTTTAAAGATGCATTTTGCTACTTACCCACATAGATTAATCTAAGTTACAGGTAAAATTTACATGAAAGTGTATCACGTACCGAATACAAACAACAGAACAGTTTTGTTGTCTGTATTGGGTTTATGTGGCAAGGATTTGGTAGCAAAGGGGGCTGCAGGAGTGGCTTCTGAGAGAAGGCACCAGAACCTGTCCCCATGTTGGTCAGAGCCAGTTCTAGTCAGCTCTAAGACGGACCCACCACTGGCCAAAGCTGAGTAAATCAGCGATGTTAGTAGCACCTCTATGATAACATATTTAAGAAAGGGTAAAAAACACTGCACAACAGCAGCTGAGAGAGAGACATGAGAATATGTGACAGAAACAACTCTGCAGACAGCAAGTTCAGTGAAGAAGGAGTGGGAGGTGGTGCTCTAAGTACTGGAGCAGAGATTCCCTTGCAGCCTGTGGTGATGACCTGGTGAAGACCATGGTGCTGCAGATTGTCCCTCTAGAGCTCATGGAGGCCCACGGTGGAGAAGATATCCACCCTGCAGCCTGTTGAGGGGAGTCCATACAGGAGCAGGTCTTCTGGCAAGACCTGCAGCCCCACGGGGGACCCACGCTAGAACAGTGTTCCTGAAAGACTGCACCCTGTGGAAAGGACCCATGTTGGAGAAGTTTGTGAAGAACTGTCTCCCATAAGAGGCACCCCATGCTGGAGCACAGGAAGAGTGTGAAGAAGAAGGAGCAGCAGAGACCAAGTGTTACGAACTCTCCACAACCCCCATTCCCCAACTCCTGGCACTGCTCAGGGGGAGGAGGTAGAAGAGTTGCAAGTGAATTTGAGCCTGGGAAGAAGGGAGGGGTGAGGGGAAGGTGCTTTTTAGATTTGTTCTTATTTGTCATTATCGTGGTCTGACTAATCGGTACTAAATTAAATTAATTTCCCCAAGTCAAGTTTGTTTCGCCCTTGACGGTAATCAGTAAATGATCCCCTTGTCCTTATCTCAACCTATGAGTTTTTCATCTTCTTTTTCTCCCCTTGTCCTTTTGAGAAGGGGGAACGATAGAGCAGTTTGCTGAGCACCTGGCAACCAGCCAAGACCAACCCACCACATTGTCTTAGAACTTCTTTATTAATTATGTCTTCTATTGTACATATACACCTCCAGTATGTGACCTATTTGTAGCCAGATCTTCCTCTGTATCAGCACAGGACTCTAAGGCTCAAGGCCATATAAATTTTAATAGAACAGAAAACTTTAGAGATTAAAAGTTTTGGAAACTAAACTTTAAGACAATGTCTCTGAAAGGTAATGGAATCACTCTGGGCTGAACACTTACAATTGCTGTTGAAACATAAATGTTACATGCTTACAGTTGGTCAAATCCTCTCCAAGCCTGGGTATTCAGGCTTTACCTGAAGGAGTCCAACAAGCTGTAGGAGAGGAGAAGGGAGAAATCCAAGGGCACATCCTCCTCAGAGCATGGAGTTTCAACTCATTGATAGTCAGATCACTTAAATTATCCATAGCAGATGTGCAAACTAACAACATGCAACATGCACTTTCGGTCCAGGGTGTACAGACAATTTGCACAGAAATCTGTGAGCTAGATGAACAGTTATCTGTTAGAGACAGATAAAAGTTAAGGAAGTTGTTCAAGGCCAGAGAGAAGATGCAATAATGTAATATGGAATCTACCAATGAGGAAACAGAATAAAATACATTTTGGTTAGTTTGGCAGGGAGAAACAGGGAATATAAGAGCATTCAACTACCTGAACAGCTTTTAAAAGGCAGCATGGGAAAGAACAGAGTTAAGTACTTAAATGTTTTCTTACATTTGGAAGATTTTTTTGGAAAATGACAACTTTGCCTCCTGGCCAGCTAATATGGCATAACTCCCAAGCTACAGACCCATCCAGATGCCTCAGTCATATCCAGTGTCCTGGGTTTTCAGTGCTGTAAGGTACATGCCAGTCAAGCATCAAACCCCTCTTCCCACAGGTCTTGTGGGATTGTTTTGGTGATTACAAATGCAGGAGAGAGCAGCAGGTTGTCAGTTTGACCATTCTGAAATCCATCATCGAATGGGCCAATATTCTAAAATTAAAACCTTCCACTATTCTCATTTTAAGAAAGCTTTGTTAAATCTTCCAGCAATTCAGCCTTCCATAACAGAAAGATTTCTGGGATAGCATTTTGAACCTATATCATGGAAAAGAATTGGAAAATTTGTCATGTGGAAAGACAGAATACAAAGCTATGGATTGCCTCTCTGAAAACAACCTGCTGCCAAGCCCCCTGAGATTTAAAATCAAGGCTTGAAGCACTCCTAGCTGAAATGTGTGATCTGAGAGAGGTTGTCTCTCTATTTAGGGCTAACTTATATAAAAAGAAGAAAGGTGAAGCTAATGCTGAAGAGGAAAGCACAATTATATTTTAAAATTGCTTTTAGAAAGAGATGGTGGGAGCCCTGTACACTAGCACAGCTAGAATGGCACCGAATAGGCACATCACTACACGTACAAAAGCAAGCAATCTTACACCAGCAGGGAGACAGACAACTCTGTTGCAATCACTGCTTTCTCAAGAAATATGACCCGACTAGGAGCTTTGGCTTTAAATCACTAAATCATGCATGCTTTGCAAAAATGCAATGTTCTTTGCCATTTCTTTCAGTCTTACTAAATCCCAAATAACATATCTACATCCTACTGCATTTCTTCTTTTATTCCAGGACACAAATTTCAGCTTCTGGAAAAGCTACAGGTACTTTCTATCATGATACTCCAAAGTGTTCAGAATTAGTCATTTAATCTCTACCCAGGCTAAAATGGCTTACTAGAGAAATCTCAGCTTAATAAATTATGTATAAGAATTCTCTCTTTTACGTAGCGTGTGCAATCATTTGAGCTATAACATCATTTATGGCTGCAGTAGAATGAACTGAACATATGCACTGTGGTACAAGCCAGTGTAAGTTAATATTGGTCACAAAGCTCGTACACATGGAAAGAAGCAACTGCCAAAACCAGAATACTTCAAGTGCTGCCAAAGGCTTTTCACATTCTTAAAGAAGGTGCCAGCAAACTTGCACCTCATCACAAGCAAAAGACAACAACAAGTAGCTACCATGCAAGCTTCTCTCTCCTTAGGCTTCTACTAATCTGGAGCTATGAAGTCCAGGCTGGAAACTCAGAAGTGTTTAAATATTTGTTGGGGAAAAATAGACCTCCATCCAACCTGTGAATCCTGCTGCCTTCCAAACCTGCAATATTTCTCTTTTGTCTAGCACATCCTCCATAAGGGTGAGTTTGTCACTTGACCATCCCAGTGTCTACACTCTGGTTCCTCTGAGATTCCAAAAACTGAGACAAACATCAAGTTAACCTGCTTTAATTTCACAACATTGTTAGAGCAGGAAGTGCGCTGAGAAATGCTCTGTCAGTTTCCTTTCAGCTGCAAAGCTCTTGAGTCTGACACACAGCCACCTGCAGCCACAGACTGCAGCTCCAGTTTCTTAAGCTGTTGGAGAGGTGGAGCAGCTGATTCTCCCTCTGCTTCCAGTTAGATGAAAATTTCAATAACTGGCAACAGAAACAGTTAATTAAAGGACTCCTTTCTCTTGGACATTAGGAAAAATAAAAAGTTTTCTAAGTCTGAGCTCCAGCCAGAGGTGAATACATAACTAATAACTTCAGGAGGGATTTGAGTTGCTTGAGGAAACTGCTTGGTAAGTCACCTGACAGTGAGACAACAGTTTTAGAAAAGAGGATATTTCACTGGTGTTTGTCAAGAAAGTGAGTGAAAGGAAACTGTTTTCACAACAGACACAGTATTCACAACACAGACACATTCCAGGGACAGAGCACTGGAAGCATCTCCCGCAGCCACAAAGTCCTAAGACATCCCAGGCAATAACATTTCCTAACTGCGTCCCTGTTTTAGGGAGGACATGAAGGGGATGCACAGACAGAAGCATCCTGCCCTCCCAGCTCAGCTCAAAGCACGTGCAAGACCAGTAGGAAGAGCAGCACAAGGAATGGAGGGAAGATGCTTTTTACTTTGCCTAAATCCAGCTCTAGAGTTAGCTAAAATCACGACCAATTGGTTTTGGTACCTTACAATGTGCCTGCATGTCTGTTTATTTCCGTCACAGTCATTAGCAAGTGGATCCAGACCCCAGTAAGTGTGAGGGACATCTACAAGCTCAGCACTTGTGTCACTGGCAGCAAAAGGCCTGGGACAAGGAGTCCCACCTCCACAAGGGAAGGGATTGCTGGAGGAGACCCAGCAGCCAAGGAATGTGTGAACATGGTGAAAGAGTGGACCAATGCTAAAGCTCACTGAAGCTGAACGGAACTCGGCTAGAAAGCACCTTGCACTCTGCAGTGAGACTCAATACCATGGCCAAGTGAAGGCATAGGCACTCTGAAGATGGGGACACCTCAGAGGAATAACCATGTCTAAAAATATACCCACTAAATCCTTCAGGCAAAAAAAAAATCCTCAAAGCTGCTTTTTCATCTATTTGGAATCTGTATGAATATATTTGGGATGAATATACAGTATCTACACTTCAACTAGTTGAACACTGTCAGAGCCAGAGATGAAACTGTTTATTGAAATGAAATGTGTAACTCTGGTATTTATATGCCAAGGGATATGCAATATATCACAAATGTAACTCACAGAAGGTACTGGTTCATCTGAATTCTACAAAATTCCATTTGCAGAAATAGACCAGGAGAAGCGTTAGAAGTGACAGGCTGGGGAGCTATTTCTATAAAAGATTCACAGATACTTAAACCAGATTAAACTCCAAATTCTAAAAAGTTGCCTTTTAATGTGCATTATCTCCAATTTCTAAGGTATCATACCTTCTATGCATTTCCAAAAGCATATATTATTTACATTATTGAACATTTGCCTTACAATTGCCATCAGCCTTCTTTGAATAAAACAAATAAAATTACAGTCTGTTAACCTAGAACCATCAAACTCTCATTACCAAGCAACACAACTTTTCTGCTGACTGCAACTCAATTAAAATCCAATTATTTGAATAACTGTATGGAAATTGCTATCATAAAATGTACCTTTTTATTAGGAACATTTTGCATAGAAAATTGACAACACGGGAATTATGATACCATGGCACCCTAAGTATTTTGTAACCTGGGCTGCAAAAAGCTATGCCCATGGACATAGAGTGTCACTTCTAGAGTAGGCATTTGATTCTACAATTGGGACTTTTGGCTCGGAGTAGATCCAAAATTATGCAACTCTGCTAGCATTACTGTGAGCTTTAAGAAAGTTGGTCTTTCTATGCCTTAAAGTTTGTTATTTCTACTGATGTTAAAAAAAAATAGTAATATATTCGTAGACCATCTTGCCACACTACCCGGTGTTAATTTAAAAGATGCCAGTCAGTGATACCAATGCTTTACATGATCTTGGTACCAAATTCTTTCATTTCTTTTATTTCTTACATTAATTAACACCAGGTAAGTAGCTGGTTTTTAAATTTAGTTTTTAACAGTACGTTTCTCTTAATCTTCTTGCAGCTGTATATCTTCTCCTTGTCCTGCAGGAACTCAATGTCATTTGAAAAAATGTCCTATGAGGAAATCATCAAGTATAAATTTGCTTCTTAGGTTTTAATTACATTAATTTTCTACCAGAGCTTTGATTTATTTGACCACAGTGTAGCTAGCACATTCTTCTTTGCCCAATACCGAAAAGCTGAATTCTTTGATATTGATAACATATGCAGATAGAAAACATCATCACACTATTTTCATCCCAGTATGCCAACTCTAGGATACAAAAAAAATAAAAGAAAAAGATCTTGATCTTAAAATCATCTATCAAACATATTTCTTTAGCTGATCTCAAGTATCTTTATATCATAATATTTTAAAGCAAGCAGAGGTGCTCCAATGTATTTGTTACTGTCTCCTACATTGCATCATAAAATCATATCAACTGAATTATACCTATTACAGTTTTAATAAATTTCTACAGAGGTGGTTCACTGAAGATTACACAGAGAACTTAAAATAGGATATTAGGTTATGATGATTCGCGTTCGACAAAACTTGAACTGGCATGCAGGAAGAAAAGAGCCAAAAAATCAAGGATAAGAAAATGAAAACGTAATAGATAAGCAAAGTAATTCTGAAATGTGATTGAGACTAAAAGAAACAACTCTTGATAGAATTAGTCACGTTCATATTACTTTTGAAATTACTTTGTGATTATTGTTGTTGACTTTTGTTCCATATATTAGATTTCATACCTTTCCTTCCACTTTCCTTGTAACTTCAGGCAACACTCCTAAAATTTTTTTAGCTGCTTTACCAACTAAAGTTGTAGGAAGTAGTGAACACTGGTCTTAAGTTCACAAAGATGCTGGAATCTCTACACTTCACAGAAATGTAAAATACTTTTGCATATACACAGTAGACCAGCTGCCTATAAAAAACCAGCACTGGAAGAAATACCTATGGCCTTTTGACTCTACATGCTAACAGTGTCTTTTTGGCAAGCTCTGAAAAACTTTCTTGTAAGAGAGGCTACAAAGAATGACAGAATTCAAACAATTCAGTTTTCTTTTCATACAGACAGTCCTTAAAAGTGATCATTTATATGGTTTATGTTAAAAGTCAAAGCTACTTACCCTTTTTCTCAAGTTGTAGGTCAAAATGAGATTTCTGGAGAAGGAGTGTGAAAAGGCTGTATAGAACTCCAGCACTTTCTGCAAGGCATCTCTCTTAATCACATGAAGATCACAGTAAGTCAAAGCCCTTACATTAGCACAGGACTGGGCAAGGGTAGACTCCTTCCAGAACACATCACCAAAAACATCTCCTTTGCCTAGAGAAAAGAGCAGCATTGCTTTCAATAACAGTACTATTTCCACCAAAAATATAAAAGAACATACATCTCACTTATGCAGTAAAGGTTCTTCTATTTTATGTGGTCAGAAAAAATTCTATCTGGAAAAACAAAACTTTGAAATAGTTCATTGATAATCTTTTCCACTATCTTTTTGTTAATTACAACAGCCCAGCAATTCTGCATAAGAATAATCTGCAATCAAAAACTATTTCATGTGAGAAGTCCCCTTTAAATATCAGTAAAGGTTTTCCTCTAAAAATCAAGAAAAGCAGTTCATTCTTCGTTCATGTTCTCTTCTGATCCCTTTCAAAGAGATTAATTAGGAGGAAATCCTTTTTCCCTTTCTTCTTTTAACTGGTATGCAAAGGATTTGTTTCTTACATCTATGTTGTTGAGTTTTCTTAATCTAGCTAACAATTACCCACTATTGTGTCAATAAAACCATCTTGTATAATACGTCAGTACAGTTACAGGCTGTAACAAAACACTACTATATATATCAATATTAAAGTAAATTTGCCCTAGTTCTCTAGATCATTGCCAGAAAAGTTTGTCTTAACACCAGTATAAAAGAGTAGATCTCAAGTCTGGTGGCTCTAATGCTTTTCAGCTGGTTAAGTGTCTCAACAAAACCCTTCTGCAGTTGTGCATGTGTGCCCCCATATTATACAGTGGAGGTTTAAGGTAACAACATTGTCCAAAACAAGAAAAGTACAAGTTAGTTATCACCAAGATAATACTGACAAGGCAGGAATGTTTAGCTGTTACACACTGGAAGAAAGAAAACATGGCCATTTCCTTACAGCCTTCCCACGTGCCTGTCTCTATGAGCTTAGAGTAGCCACTGCAATCCCTACTGAGGAATGCTGCAATGAGAGCATCTGCACCAGTCTGGGCACTTCAACTCAGGGCAAATACACCAAACCCCGCCTGAGAAGCAGCCCCAGTCAGGATTTCACTGGTTATACCCTACCTCAGGCTGGGCACAAATGGGAGGGTTTAAGAGAAAATTACAAGCTCCTTTACAGAATAATGGTCATTTTTTTCTGTTTTCCAACATATAAGCTATCACGATAATAATATCCAGTTCTCATCTTAATAATGAATAACTACACTGTTCTTGTTTTGAATGGTATTTTCCTCTTAAACCTGTGCTGGGTTATATCACCACAGCATATCAATTTTACGACAGACAACAAAGAAATACATTCACAATATCTATCAAGTTTTGGTAGGGATGGACCAGAAGGTCCCTTGTCTTACAAGTAATACTTTGCCCATAGCAATTCTTTAAAGTCAAAGCATCAAAGTATATATTAGTTTTTTTACTTCACCCGAGCCCTTTTAAATTTTATTCCCTAAATAAATAGTCATGTATGGAAGTCTACATGAAAGTCAAGAGAACGATCATGAGTGAAGAGGTCAAGAAAACTTCTAAATCAAACTGAGAACTCCGATCTCAGCCCTTCAGCTCTACCTCCACTGTTACAGAATCTCTTCCATTAGATGATAAGCATTTTCTCTTTGAGGAGAAGCTATCAGCCTGACTGTAAGCTACACTGTAGTGCAATAAGCTGTGGTTCACACTGATGTGCTCCCAGTCTTCTACAAAAGCACTGTGCAGTCCACCTGTCAGGGACCAGTTTAGTCCCTTCTCACTTTGGAGGAGCATAGACTATATTTCTATTTTAAATGCATATATA